AAGTGTGACTTATAATCAAGTGCGACTTATAATCAAGTGACTTATAATCAAGCGCGACTTATAATCAAGCGCGACTTATAATCAAGCGCGACTTATAATCAAGCGCGACTTATAATCAAGCGCGACTTATAATCAAGCGCGACTTGTAATCAAGTGAGACTTATAATCAAGTGCGACTTATAATCAAGTGCGACTTATAATCAAGTGCGACTTCCAATCAAGTGCGACTTATAATCAAGTGTGACTTATAATCAAGTGCGACTTATAATCAAGTGCGACTTATAATCAAGCGCGACTTATAATCAAGCGCGACTTATAATCAAGTGTGACTTATAATCAAGTGCGACTTATAATCAAGTGCGACTTCCAATCAAGTGCGACTTATAATCAAGTGCGACTTATATTCAAGTGTGACTTATAATCAAGTGCGGATTCGCGCAGAGTCGAGTCGTGGAGCTGTGACCAAGATATATTGCAAGATGTGCAGGGAGAAGGCATCCTCGCTTCGTGGTTTGAGGAATTACAGCACAGCATTGTCGAAGGAAAAAAAACTGCGATGCAAAATTGTTGCGTTGCTATGCAAACGTTGGGGTGTGTAGCAATTATTGCTACGCAAATTTTTCGAAGTAAATTAGTCCCTGGTGTATGTGTGTGTGTGTGTGTGTGTGTGTGTGTGTGTGTGTATGTGTGTGTTTGTGTGTGTGTGTGTGTGTATGTGTGTATACGGGATTTGCAGCGGCTCTCTGTCTTCCACCACCGATGCATCCGCTCAATCATGGGAGTGTCTCGCCAAGAATGCTGGGATGACCACATCACCAACCACCAACTACGTGTGAGGTGGGGTGATCCCGACACCATCCGCACGAAGGTGGAGCACCGCCGCCTTGAATGGCTCGGGCATGTTGCTCGGATGGAGGACCACCGGCTGCCGAAGCAAGTTCTCTTTGGCACGCTTCCGTCGCGTCGCCCAGCTCATGGCCCTCGTCGGCGCTGGAAGGATTGTATCATGTCTGACCTTCGTTCTCGCGGCCTCGAGGGGGAATGGCGAGCTGAATGCGAGTCGCGTTCCACCGGGCGCTCGGCGTACTCAGCACCGGTAGATGGCCAGCATACCCCTCCCGTCACCTGCTACACCTGCGACCGACAGTTTACGCGCCCCAGTGATCGCGCACGCCACAAATGTAAGGCTGAGCGTGCGAAGCCGGTTGCGGAGCAGAAAGGTGCATGCCAGTGTGGAGAGTGTGGCCGTTGGCTTAAGTCCCGTGGAGGTCTGGCAAGGCACAAGTGTACTTACCCCCAGTCAGCAGTCGGTGCGCCCCTGCCGCTGCCTGCTTCTCCGCTGTGCTGCGTCGCTCACTGCCAGGCTTGTGACCGCTGCTTTGCGTCTACACGTGGCCGCGCCCGTCATCGCTGCTCGCGGACTTGTAGTCGTCCGACCGTTCAGGACCGTCAGGGTTTCACGTGTGTTTGCGCCTGCTCCCGCCGATTTCGCTTACCGCATCACCTGGATCGTCACAGGGCTGTGTGCTCCTCCTCTCTCTCAGCTGCCCCTCCGGGGCCCACGTAACCTTCATGGCAGTGGCTCAACAGGACAGGACAGGACAGGTATGTGTGTGTGTGTGTGTGTGTGTGTGTGTGTGTGTGTGTGTGTGTGAATGTATAAACAGGCCCTGTATCGGAACAGTGAGCTAGCCGACAATGTTCTTCCTGCAAGCGCTGGTTCTGCAGTGCCGGAGGTTCGGCGGTCCACAAGTGCCCCAACTACCGGACGCTCCCGCGACATCGTCTCAGGCTCCATGCCGGGCGGCGTTGTCAATCATTGCTGCTCAGGCGACTCCTCCGCCGCCGCGTGTGCGGCTCGCCCTCTCATGCTGCAAGGCCCACTGTGGGGCCTGTGGTCGGTGCTGCCGCTCTACTCGTGGATTCCAAATCCATTGCTGCCAAAGATGGCTCTCTCGTCGTGCCGATTGAACAAGGTCCCTGATCTCTCGGCGGACTGCCGACTTTCTGCCGTCGCTCGTCGTTTCCATGTTGTCGGCCCCGCAAGGGGACAAGTGACCGTAATGGCAGTGTTTACCAGGACCAGGACCAGGACCAGGTGTGTGTGTATGTATGTGTGTGTATGTGTATGCCCATGGGGGTCTTGTGTGTGTCTGCATGTCTCTCTCTGTCTCTCTCTCTCTGTCTCTCTCTCTCTCTCTGTCTCTCTCTCCATCTATCTATCCATCTCTGTCTCTCTCTCCATCTATCTATCCATATCTGTCTCTCTCTCCATCTATCTATCCATCTCTCTCTCCCTCTTGCTGAAACATATACGCACACGGTGATACACCCACACCATTGGACCATTGGACGCCCATCGCCGGAGGCGATGATAGCGATGCTACAGCAGAAGCCATAGCAGCTTGTGCTGGGATTGCAACATTCAACAACTTGCAAGGCTGAAGAGTTGACCGCCACTATTCAGCCTGGTCTGCACCACACAGCTATGCAGTGGCTTTTTTGGGCAGTGAATCCCTACTTTTTGGTCTTTTTTCATTTTTCTACACACACACACACACACACACACACACACACACACACATCACACCACATACTGCGGCATGCACTGGCTGTTGGTAACCACCCAGGAGAATGAAAGAAAAGTCAGGAGGAGTCTGAGAAACAGAAGAAAGACGTGTGTGACTATAATCGTCGGGAAAATCGATTGGAAATCGCTGCACATACCACTGCACCATATGGGACACACACACACACACACACACACACACACACACACACACACGCATACACACACACACACACACACACACACACACACACACACACACACACACACACACACACACACACACACACAAACAAACACACACCACACGCACACGCGCGCACACACACACACACACACACACACACAAGCCCTTTCCCAAGGTGCTCTTTTAATTCGCACTGAGTGCTTTTCGCGTCTCTCAAAATATGCTGAAAAATGACCTTTTTTCAGTGAAAACAGGCAAAAAGTGCTCTTTTTCAGTGAAGCATAGCCATGATACATGTTCAGATATGAACCCAAGCTGAGAAATGAATACGCACTCTTCCATTTATGGGTCCACGAAAGGCAAAACAGGAAGTAAAGTTCAAAAACTTTTTACAGAATTGTGAAACAAGCTTCACCTACTTGTTGCCCCCCAAAAAAGCGGCGTGCCAAGGCCCATCGAGCACTCGGAAACTGTGATCGCATGCATGAGCAAACAGATTTTTAGAACTTTTTCAGCTAAAAAAGCTCAAAAAGGGCGCACACAAAAACACAAAACGCAATAAAGGGCGAAAGAAACGGGCTTTTCAAAAAAGGGCCAAAAAGAGCGAAAAAAGGCGAGCACCTTTGGGAAAGGGCTAACACACACACACCACACACACACACACACACACACACACACACACACACACACACACACACACACACACACACACACACACACACACACCTGGCCTGGTGTACAGCTGCCGAATGCTTGGCCACGCCGCCCCCGAGACAGGGGAGAGTAGAAGAGAGAGTTCGAGAGAAGTCAGCACTGCCACTAGGAAGCCGCTCCGCCACGACGCCGTCCACGATTGCAATTGTGTCGCCGAAAACCAGGAGCAGATTTAAAACAGCGATCACAGGTAGCGCAGCGCTGGTTGCAACACGGATGGCTGGTGATTGGTATGCGCTGGGGTGTGGGGGGTGATGCCGGGGCGGGTGTCGTGCACTTGTGCACAGCAAGTCCACCGGCACTTCGGAACCACCGAAGGCAGACATGGTATTGGCGTGCGTCCGGCTGTTCCGCTACAGGCAGCTGGCGATCAGCAGAACATTAATTTTGTGTCGTCCGAGTCCAGATTTACTCTTAAATGTCCGTTTACATACCAAGCAAGAGAGCGGTACCGGGGCAGGACGCTGCACACGAGTGCGGTACGCACCTCTCCATTGCTGACGACCCTGGGCCAGAGTAAACCATTCATCAATTTGGCACAGTTTCATGTCTGACTGTATTCTGTCCTTCCACCGAAGACGAGATCCCTGAGCTGGTCGGGGAGCGTCAAGCCATCCAAACAGCAACTGCTTAGGGAGACGGTTGTCAGGCATCCGAGCTACATGGCCCAACCACTGGAGGCGGCGACGGCGCATAGTGTCCGACACCAGATCCTCATCCCCTCAACGCTTACGGAGGTCACAATTCCGGACATGATTCAACTCCTGATCCCAGCGCGAGACTCCCAGGATACACCGTAGACATTGATGATGAAAGTTGTCAATACGGATCTCATCATGACAAAGAACCGGCCAACACTCAGCACCATACAGCAAAACAGTCAGAACGCAAGTTTCGTACGGCATTTTCTTTGTGCGGATGGACAGGCCGGGAGTGTTAAACACGCAACGAAGTGCTCCAAATGCACAAGATGCACTGGCAAGACGACGATCAACCTCAAGGCCAACACGAGAGTCAGGGTCAACGAGGCTGCCAAGATATACGAAGGAGGATGCCGGCAAGTGCAGCCTGGGTGACAGGGACCTACATCGTGCCTCCCTTGGAACCCCAGCGCCTGCTCACCCACATCCACCACTCACCCACGTCCACTTCAGCATCCAGAATGTTCACCGCCTCCTGCGCCGTCTCGACGCGTCGAAAGCCACGGGGCCGGACAGCATCTCCCCCCGTGTGCTGAAAGAATGCGCTTCGGTGCTCGCACCGGTCCTGACCAAGCTTTTCTCATTGTGCTTCCGGCATGGATACCAACCTCAGGCCTGGAAGCGAGCCAATGTTGTTCCTGTGCATAAACGCTCATTTCGCTCACAGCTCAAGAACTACCGCCCCGTATCTCTCCTTAGTGTGATATCCAAGGTAATGGAGACCATTATCAACATGCAAATTACGAACTACCTCGAGGGTAACTCACTGCTTGCAGCAAATCAGTTTGGCTTCAGACGGAATCTGGGTACAGCCGACGCTCTTACTGCGCTACACCACTCCTGGGCATCCTCTATCGGACGCGGGGGCGCAGCACGTGTACTTGCAGTTGACATCGCTGGAGCCTTCGACAAGGTCTCTCACGCTGGTGTCCTCTTCAAGCTTCAGCAATGTGGCATCCAAGGAATCCTCCTTGCATGGCTGACATCGTACCTGTCTAACCGAAGCATACAGTGTGTTGTCGGTGGTGCAACCTCCCGTCCATACCCCATCAAGGCGGGAGTCCCACAAGGCAGCATCTTGGGGCCAACCATGTTTCTCATATACATTAACGACGTATCAACATGCCTTGCTGGGAACACGCAGCTTGAAGCCTATGCTGGCGATACGACATTGTACACTCTTCTCCGTAACGACCTCCCCACTGCTGCTGCCTTGCTTCAGGACACCGTCAATCGTCGGTCAGACTGGGGCAAGGAATGGCGTGTAGCGTTTGAGCCGTCGAAATCCCAGGCTATGACAGTCACGCTGCAAAGAGCGCAGCTAGCCTTGCCCTCTCTCCTCTTTGGAGGCAACCCTGTGCCAGAGTTATCCACAATAAAGCTCTTGGGGGTGACTTTTGATCCGAAGCTGTCCTTCGCGGAGCACATCCGCGCAGTGTCTATACGTGGCAAACAGCGTTTGGGCCTCCTGCGGCGAGCTGCGCCCTATCTCTCCCGAGAAGGCCGCCTCACGGTGTACAAGGGGTTTGTACGGCCCGTTTTGAAGTATGCTCCGCTCGTCTGGATGGGAGCTGCTCCCTCCCATCTTGCACGCCTAGATAGCATCCAACGCCGTGCATTGCGCATCAATGGTCCCGGGACGGAGCTCCAAAGCCTCAGCCTACGGCGATACGTTGCTGCATTAACATACACTTACAAACTGCATTTCATCACCGGTCCGACTCAATTGCTAGCAGTCCTCCCACCAATGCTTGAGCCCCGTGACGCCACTCGCACTCGAAACGATCTCCGCATGGCCGCCGGCCACAGTTACCAGCTACAAAATCCCCTACCGCGTCAAGCACCAGACACCATTCTCCGCAGCTTCCCATATTGTGCAATCCAGCTGTGGAATCCCCCCCCCCCCCGCCAGCTTTTCTAGACTCCGCCCCAACTCGCAAAAATCTTCAAAAGTTTAAGCACAACGTCAACGAATACCTCCGCCGACAGGATTGGCGATGGTTCACGGACATTCTGCCTATCGACCCACCTACATTCTAGTGCCCCGTCAACGACTCCCATTGCTACGAATGCGCTGCACACTAGTACTAGCTGTTGCTTGCCCTTGTTTTATTTCTATTTTTGCTGACCCTTACAGCTCTATCTTTTGTTTTTGGTGCGTGTTTCTGGCCGTGATGCTGAGACCTCAGGTCGGCAGAGCCATCAATGCCCCACCATCACTGCTGCATCTGTGCAACCCCTTCTCAGTAGTTGTCACGTTTGTCCTTGTCTCAGTACCATTGCCTTTCTGTATTATTAATATGAGTTGGGTATGTGAACATAGTAAAAAAATAAATAAAAAAGGACACATGTTCAACTCCCTGACCTGCAATAACCAGGGGCTCATATACGTCGGCAGCCGTACCACAACTCACGAATTTCGTCTTTGAGAAGTTGATGGTCAACCCAAAGGCAGATGATATCCGATGAAAGGTCTCCAATGGCAGCTGTGCGGCAGCCAGAGTCGGAGCAAACAAGGCGGCGTCATCAGCAAACTCAACATCTAACACTGTAGTGGATTGATGACGGGTGCGTGGCCGATTAAAATGGTTTCCGTTTACACTATGATTGAACGTGAAACCGCCACCAGGGAGGATCCAGGCCATTTCAGCATTCCACCGCTCAAACACAAGGCTGAAATACAGGTTGAACAATACTGGGGAGATGGAGCACCCCTGCCGGAGGCCATTGTTCACACTGATAGGGTCTGTATGCCGATCGCCAACACGGACACGGGCCTGCATACCAGTGTGGAAGGATGCAATTAGATCTACGAGCTGATCCGGCACGCCAAGTGTCCGCAGACCGCACCACAAAGCCTGTCTCGGGACCGAATCGTACGCCTTTCTCAAATCAATGAAGACAAGAAACCCTCCAGTACGGTGTTCGTACTTGTACAACTTCTCGACTGATTGATATACTGAAAAGATCTGGTCCGTACACGATCTCCCACGGCGGAAGCCACACTGTGATTCGGGAAGCTCCCGCTCAGCAACAGACTGCAACCGATTTTGAATTAGCCGACCAACAACTTTACCAACAACATCCAACAATGCTATGCCACGCCAGTTATCACAGAGCGATAGGTCACCTTTCTTCGGGATTGGCACTAGCTCAGCATCTTTCCATGCCTGCGGAACCTGATTCTCACGCCATATCTGGTGAATAAGGCAGAGAAGGGTTTGATGAAATTGCGCTCCAGCATGTTTAACCATTTCAGGTAAGATACCCGACTCTCCAGGTGCCTTGTTGTTAGTTAGGCGGCTGATAGCGCGTGACAATTCCACAGCCGTGGGAAGCTCGGCAAGCTCATCAGCCACAGGCCGTTGCTTCAGACTGGAAAATACAGTTGGATCATACTGACTCTGTATGTTGAGAACAGTGTGGAAGTGGCCACCCCAGCGGGCACACTGGGCGTCAACCGAACTACACAAGTTGCCATTGGCATCCTTGATCTTGGGGATAGTGATAGGGCATAAGCCTTTGAAGCTCCGCTAGATCGATCGAATAGACGACCAAACAGTGGCACCATGACATGCGAGTCTGCCGATCTCCGTCTGAGCTGCAACACCCACAAGCCAATTAGTCTTGGCACGATGCACTTCCGCTCGAGTCTTGGACCGGATGGTTTTAACCTTGGCATGATCCAAGCTATTGCCAGATGCAACCCACTTGTTGTATGCCAAGCGGCGTTCCATAAACAGAGCCAGCGTCAGCACATCCTGTTGGTCATAGAACCAGTCTGGTTGATTTCGGCGAGCATACCCAAGAACCTCCGTTCCAGCGTTGGTTAGACCAATCTGTACAGAGTTCCATTGCTCCTCCAGTGGGGCGGTAGATTCGAAACCCTCAATGTTGGAAGCCACTGCATTCTGAAAACGCTGCACATTCTCTTCCGTGCGCGTCCGTTCCACTGTCGTCATAGCAGGCGATGGTTTCAGCATTCCCACATTGAAACGTCTACGTCTGGGTTCCCTGGGCCGGCGGTGTAGTTTCAGCTGGTGGAGTCTCAGGGTGAGACAAACTAACCGGTGATCAGAGCCACAATCTGCATGACAAACGATTCGGCAGTCTGTACACATTTTACGGTCACGTTGGTGAACGATGATGAAGTCGATCGAGTGCCAAATCTTGGTCCCTGGGTGTTGCCATGACTGCTTGTAAATCGGCTTCTTGGGAAACCAGGTATTAAAGACAGTGGCATTATTGATGTTGAGGAATGACAATAATTCCTTCCCAGTTTCATTACAAATACCAAGTCTATGTGACCATCGTACAGCACTCCACTCGTCTCCCTCACCAGTGCAAGATCCAACACGAGCGATGAAGTCACCCAGTACCAGTACTTGTCAGATCCTGGGCCAGCACGTAGGACAGCCTGAAGATCGGAGTAAAATGTGTCCTTACACCATCTTGAACCTTGAACGTGCCCATTGCCGATGGCAATGATAGCGAAGGGACTATCCGCTAGCTTTGCAGTACGGAGCGTGGCGCTTGAGGTCCCCGGGACGACGGCAGACCTTTCCACATGCGCAGCGGAAGCCAGAGTCAGGATCAGGAGGAGCACGGGCGGGAGGACGACAATGAGCAATCTGCCTCCAGGCAGAGCGATCCTGGGCAGCATCAAACCAGCAGTCAGAAGGCACTTACACCACACACACACACACATACACACACACATACACATACACACACACACACACACATACACACACACACATACACATACACATACACACACACACACACCACACACACACACACACACACACTACTACTACTACTATAGCATGACTGCCCATTGGGCAATGTCACCCCCGGAGGGGGCCAGAGTTTGGAGTGCACCGTCATTGGCAGGACTTCTGGTGCCTCGTCAAATCTTGCTGTCGTCGGAAACGTTTCGGGCAATGCATGCAGATCAGCGGCAGTGATTCCCTATCGGCTGCAGCAAGACGTTTTCCACGGTTGCAGTTATGGCGGTTAAAACCAGCCCGGGACTTGAAGCAGCGATTGCAGCGTTGACAATGCTGGAAGCAGCAACTAGCGAGAGACGCCGTCAATGCCGTATCTGCATGTTCAGGGAGTGCAGGCTGGCAGCGATGAACTGCAAGCCCACCCTTACTACGGAACCATCGGCAGCAACTGACGCACTGTGCTGAACCACGCTGTTGGTGGACGGGAAGTTGGCGCTCAGCCAAACACTTGTGCCGTGCCTTGTCTTGAGGACGAGAGAAAGCCCGGTTGCAAGATGAGCAGAGTACGGATTTCTCTACTGCCCGAGGAGGCTGAAAAACCAGAACCTGCTCTCGCCAAGCTGACCGGTCTTGTGCGCAATCAAACCAGTTTGGAATGGACTTCGTGTCAGTAGCCACAACGTCTCTCCACCTACGCCTGGGACCGCAGAAGGGGCGCGCAGCCAACAAACGACCAAACAACAGCTGCAATGGGACACGGTCCTCCGACATCCGAGCCACATGACCAAGCCACTCTAAACGACGATGGCGCATCTTAACAGAGAGTGGCACTGGGTCACCCCAGTGACGACGTAACTGCGCAGACGTGATGCGATCGGATTGCTGCTGACTGCGAGGGATGGCTAATATTGTGCGGATGCAGCGATGATGAAAGGCATCCAAACGTCTACTATCAGCTTTCAAGGGCGTCCAGCACTCACTGCCGTACAGCAAAATGGACAAGACACAGGCCACGTATAGCTTTCGCTTACTGACTAATGACAGCGAGCGATCCGACAAGACTGGAAGAAGAGCTCCAAAGGCTTTGGAAGCCTCAGCTATGCGGCGACTGACGTCAGTAGAGGAGCGGGCATCCGCACACACACACACACACACACATACACACACACACACACACACACACACACACACACACACACACACACACACACACACACACACACACCATTGGACCATTGGACGCCCATCGCTGAAGGCGATGATAGGTATGCTACAGCAGAAGCCATAGCAGCTTGTGCTAGGATTGCACCATTCAACAACTTGCAAGGCTGAAGAATTGACTGCCACTATTCAGCCTGGTCTACACCACACAGCTATGAAGTGGCTTTTTGTGGCCAGTGAATCCCTACTTTTTTGGTCCTTATTCCTTTTTTTCGGCGCACACATCACACCACATACTCCGGCATGCACTGGCTGTTGGTAACCACCCAGGAGAATTAAAGAAAAGTCAGGAGAAGTCTGAGAAACAGAAGAAAGACGTGTGTGACTATAATCGTCGGGAATCAAACCCGCCACCTCTCGATTGGAAATCGCTGCACATACCACTGCACCATATGGGACACACACACACACACACACACACACACACACACACACACACACACACACACACACATACACACACACACACCACACACCAGGGGCGACGGAAGGTATTTTAGTGTGGTACGGTCAGCCATCCGAACTACAATTTACTCGTGGGGGAGTGGTGGAAGAGCCGAAAATTTTGGAAATTTAGATCCCAGATCAGTGTATTTTGTTGATTCACGGGGTACCTGGGGCAAAAAGTGGTACGGTCAATACCGTAGTGACCGTACCGTGTGCGACGCCCCTGCACACACACACACCACACACACACACACACACACACACACACACACACACACACACACACACACACACACACACACACCACCACACACACAGACATGCAAACACGCACACCTAGGTAAATTATCGATCCCTGATTTCAACGCTAACCCCGAGACCTCTGGCTGGTTTAACCCTATAACGCCTATAGGACGGATATATCCGCCAGACTGTACAGTGCATGCTGAGGTGACTTCAAACTTTCGTCATTCAGTCAATCCTTGTTCGAATTCAACAAACGAAAGGTCTAATCGTATCAGAAAAGCCTCAGCTGTCGGCTCCAAAAAACCCGAAGACGATCCGAGGTCATGGCGCAGAGTTACGACACTCGAACGAAATTCGCGTGGGCGAGTCGGCTCGCGCGGCGTAAAATTTGAAACGCCAGCAAGGGATTTTCCCTGACTCGCTGGCGACGCGTGCACGACTGGCATACGTCATTTTCAAGCTGCATTTTGAAGCTCTCTCCTGCAAAAAAATTGACCGTTCTGCGATCGATATTGTTGAAATGGCTGAGAATTTAGTACCGCGCTCGCAGGTCTGGCATTGGAGCGCTCAGATCGCGCTGCGGCGTTACTCCTACGACTCTATCAATTGAGAACTGGGTATGGCTGTGTTCGTCTTGGAGAGAGCTTTCCATAGAGCCCGAGATTGTTGGAATACTCCAAAGGATATCGAAATTACAGTCAAATGAAAATGTGAGTTTGTGAATTTCATGCGTCTCCTGAAATAATTTAGGCTCTAAAGGGTTAACAGTTTCTCCCAAGACATTGACACTTGGTCCCTACATCTCCTGTGTCTTGTTTTATCTTTTCCTCTACATGTACATCTCAGCAGGGATGTGTTCATAAAACAATACACTCACAATTTCAACTTTTTCAAACTTATGAACACTTTTTACTCTCTACTTGTCATTTGTTTGTGTTTGAGCAGGTTCCTGCGGCAATGGCACAGCTTTCTGCTTTGAGAATGGTGATGCAGTTCTGCAGCAGTTATCTCTAGGACAGGTATGCAAGCAAAACACCATACACAGTACATGTGCAGTGCTATATGATACACTAGTAGTGCACTAGCCACTCACTCTCTATATATGTACACAGTGACCATAAGCAGTTCACCTCTATACTACATGTACATGCATGCCATATTCGGCATACACATTAGCAAGCTGTGTTCATTACGGACGGTGTGTGGGACGGGGTCTGAGAACGAAAAGAACAATGTTCGTTTCAGGGACGACAAACAACCTTTGCAACGACACCTTTAGCGTCCATGAGCGGTTGTGGAATTACGCCGACTCACCATTATGACTTCATTCATGGAAACATCTACAAGTATAGCATATCCAAATTACAATCAAACAAAAGAAAAAAAAAGAGGACACACTTCAGGCTCTTTACGAACATCTTGAACGTTTTCGGTTTCACAAGTATACTTTCAAGCCTTCTCGTCAGGTGATATACAGACAAAGGGAAAGGAACAAGAACAGTGGATTAAGTACAGTAAGGAGGTGATAACTCAGTGCAAAGAAGAACGGATAACTAAAACTAACAGCAAAAATGTGTGACCTATACACATAGAAATAATGACACAAAGGTGCAAGTGCTAGAAAACCTAACAAGCGTGACATGTGGTGTCACAACAAGAGACTTATGAATAATTATGACATCATACAATGTTATGGTTGATGTTTGTGCAGGGCTTCGATCAGATCTGCTTTGACTTTGGAATCTTGCTGGCGTTGTTCTTCGCCTTCTTCATTTCCGGACTTCTGATACTGGTGTTGCGTATCCGCTACATCAAGCGCTAATGTCTGCCAGGCGCAATGCGTTGACGTGTCACTCTAAGGTGCTAAACCTGACTTGATGATGGTGCTGTTCTAGTGTTGAGATGATTCAGTATTCCGCTATGTTTGTCAGTGTCTTTCATGTTGCTATTTTGTTAGTCATACAGCCCATATACACTCCTTAATGTCAACTTCAGTAGTGGACATTCCCAGACAAGTATTCTGCCTGTCATGTGTGTGTGTGTGTGTGTGTGTCTGTGTGTGTTGTTGTGTGTGTGTGTGTGTGTGTGTGTGTGTGTATGTGTATGTGTGTGCATGTGTGTGAGGTCAATTTAGTTCTTGTTTATCTGTTGTTGTGGTGTGTTGTGTGCCGTGGTCAAGTGTGTGTGTGTGTTTCCATTACGTTCATATCTGCAAGTGTGTAGTGTATATGTATGCTGGTATGTAGCTGCTGGGTCAGACTATAGTTATGTTTGGAGATTCTAGTTTAGATCATTTTATGTGCAGCCTGATTAGAATGTCATGTGAATTTCAGTACACTTGCAAACACTACATACATTGTTACTAGTAAACAGTGCTCTCTTTGTCATTTCCAACAACTGCTGCTATTATGCAGTGTATGGCATGTCAGTGACTCAGTTGTTTTTTTATAGTTTTTCAGTGTCTGCTGTTTTATTTTTGTTGCTAAAGTAATGCAGGGTTTATACAAACGCTGACTGTTGTGTCATGGCTACAAGTGAGAAGATCTTCAACCCTGCTGAGTGCTCTGTGAATTTGCTGTGTGTGTGTGTGTGTGTGTGTGTGTATGTGTGTGCCAGCTAGTTCGGTTGGTGGGTACACTCATGCCGGATAGTGTTGGGTCTGTTGCCAACGGGCTCGGCTGCTTGAAGGTGTATTGTTGTACCTACCACCTTTGTTGGTTTCAGGGTTCATATACTTTCTATTTGAAGTATACATACCTGTTAACCATGGACTACTTCTAGCTAGATTAACTCTTGTGTAATCATGGTGCTAGTGAAGCTTATATCAGATCCACTCTGATTTAGCCACCTACACTAGAAGCAAGTATTACCTTCAATGGGGGCAGGGGTAACTGCAGTTGGATCCCAGGACGGATACCCTGATGCCGTCAATCCTTTTTCTGCACCTTGTCCTCACCCACTTACTGAGGTGTGGTGAGCCCATAAGTGGGATCATTTTGAAGTCCACCCAGAGTTTTGGGGATCTCAGGAGGTGTCGGGCGTTGGGTGGTTCAATAGCCAATTGAGTCATCTTTCCAAGATTCCTTTTGAGTCTCTCTCCCCTCTCCCGGGGAGACCCACGTGGCCAGTTTTGGCAGTGAGCAACAAGTACAAGTAAGTGTGTGTGTGTGTGTGTGTGTGTGTGTGTGTGTGTGTGTGTGTGTGTGTGTGTGTGTGTGTGTGTAGAAGGCCTATGATTCAGTGCCCAGGGGTGTCTGTGGCAGGTCCTCGGCCGTGCGGGAGTACCAGAAAAGCTTATCAACATCATCCGGTCGTTCCACGGCCCCATGTCAGCATTGGTGCAGTTCAACAACATAATTATCAGACCCGTTCAGCATTGGCAATGGTCTTCGCCAGGGGTGCTCTATGGCGCCGGTCCTTTTAAATATCTTTATGTGGGCCGTGATGACCCAGTGGCAACACCGCGTCAGGAGAGTTGACGGGGTTGGCTTCGAGCTCCGCTCAGCACACAGCAAAACCCCGCCGTGACGACCAACAGATTCCCAGTTTGCTGACGACTCTTGTCTATTCGCTACGACTCGGTCTGGAGCGGGGTCAGCATTGTGCTGTCTTCACGAGGTGGCGTCGGGATTCGGCTTGATCATCAGTGCAACGAAGACTTAGTTTGTAGTTGTTGGCCCCGACATCACGCCTACTGATCGCGCTCCTCTCCAACTTGGTCAAGCGGAGGTGGAATGTGTACCGCATTTCAAATACCTCGGTTCTGTAGTGGACAGCGGTTGCCGTTCGTCCCGGGACATCGCCGCAAGGATTGCCCAAGCCTCCGGGGCTTGCGGTGCTCTTCAGAAGTCTGTATTCTCCAATCCACATCTGCTGATGCACACCAAGCGGTGCGTATTCAATGCTTGCGTTCTGTCCCTGCTGTTGTATGGCTCTGAGTGCTGGACGCCCCTTCAACATGACCTGCAGAAGCTCTCAACCTTCAGCATGAGGTGCATCCGATCCATCCTCGGGGTCTCTCGAAGCCGGATGTGGGACGAACACATCACCAACGAAGAGCTGCTGGTGCGCTGGGGAGACTCCGAGACGATTAAAGACAAGATTGTACATCGGCGGCTGGAGTGGTTGGGGCATGTGGCGCGGATGCCGGACAACCGCATCCCGAAACAGGTCGGCTGTTTG